TAGTTTGGTCAGTGGAGAAGGGAGGGATGATGTTGCTCATGCGGGTTTGAGCAACGCTACTTGCAGAAGAGGGAGACGGGACTAGCAATCCCGTAGTTTTTTGGGGATCCTCGTTAAGAACTAGTAGGGAGGTGAATAATCCAAGTGAGTCTGACCTAAGCTCATTAAATCTAATCCTGTTGCAGATCAAACAAAGGACTACAGTCTAGTCCAATCCAGTCCCCCCCCCAATCCGATCAAATAAACGGGCCCTCAAGGTTTTTGTATTGTTTTGGAATATCTTTTACAGAAAAAATATTATAAATTGGCAACTATAAGTTAATTATGATCAATTTTTGGAAGCTTTAACTAATAAAAAGAGCTTGAAAACTTTGAGTTTTAATGATAAGGAGAATTGACTTTTTAGTGTAAAAATGTGGTTTTTCGTTAAAGTGAACCGTATCGGGAGCTTTTCGTTAAAATTCCCTTTATTTTATGGCTCCGTCATTATAAATTTCTAATTCCGCCACTAGCGCTAATTTTTCTTAATAATCCAAACTACTCAATAGTCAAGAAATGAACAGTCATGGTTGAATTGAGGAAATACTATTTTTACTTCTTAATGTAATGGATATAAAACCAAACTACCGAGTGGCGCGGACTATTGAAGACTTATCCCACAAACGCTATGGCTCTACTAAAGAATAAGGCCCCGTTTGGCACACCGTATAAGACACCGAATAGTACTAATAATACGGAGTACGATGTTTAGTGTCGTTTGTATTAAATATCCACCAGATTAAACAATCCAGTCCCACCTACTTTATACGGTAAACACCCGCTTGTTTATCCTCTCCAAAACCATGGTGCAATTTAGTCGGGTCCTTCCTCTCCAGACGCAGTCGCTGTCTCTGCTCTAGGATAGTCATCCTCAACGGTGATGATGTTGCCTCCCACCCAATCCCAAGCCTCCGTGACTATGACATTCGGGACGGCATCACCATGCTTGGTAGCCAGTACTTGAGCGATGCAGAGCCCACTAATTCCACCGCCCACCACCACGCTATCAACAAAGATGAACATCTTCTTCTTCGTTTCCCCTCCCTCTGTTATTCCCCCTCCTTCCCACAAATTCCAAAACCCAATTCCTCTGCCGGCGAACTTGCAAAGGCAGAAACGTAGTTCCCTTCCATCTTATTCTTCTTCTTCTTCCTCTTCAGTTCTTCCAGCGAACCCAGTCCTCTTACTTCGGTTCTTCTTCTTTCGCAGCCACTGTTTGATGGGTTCGATATCACCATCTGCTCGATTGGAAATTTAGCAATTTTAAACGTGAATTCTTGCAATGATTCAGAAAGTTAGCAATTTGAAAGAGAAAAAAAAAATATTCCTCCACTTGCATCTTCTTCTGGCTACCGGATCTCATTCCTTCTTCTCCACCGCTGCATTTCCGACCTCTACAAACAAACAAAGATTTCTCAATTTTTTTTTCTTTCCTTTTCTTATCTGGTTCAGTACCAAACACAGTATAAATAATATAATCATTAGTCCGATATTGCACCAAACACCCGATTAATTTAGTCAGTTTTATCCGGTGACTATTTATCCTATCAGACAGAAATAGTCAGTACAATTTGAGCTACCAAACGAGGCCTAAAGTTATATTTTCAGTGTATGAAGCACTGCTCGCCAAATATAGCAGCCGCAGAACTCTAGGTCAAGGAACTCTCAATCTTTTGCATCTCCACTTTGATTGTTAACCAACTGAAAGGAGAATATGCCGCCTATAATCTCACTAAGGATAACAATGATTCAGTTTGGGGATGGAAATGTTATATTTATCTCCATAACCACAAAAATTAACCATATTCATAACTGTAAATTAATTATCGGGGGAGTATCCATAACCATACTCACCGGGTAACTAATTCTCTATAGGTTAACAGTTATTTTCATCTTCGTCAATACATATAATATATTCGTTTAGTTAACGCATTATAATTTAGTAAATATTAATTTCGTCATTAAACATTTGATGTATTAAATAATTCAATGTGCGATTAAATTAAAACATCAAATTTAAAACGGAAACTGTTATTGTCACTCCACAGATATTATTTTGCACTCCTCACAATTGTATTTTTCTTTCTAAATATAGAAAGTTTGGAGTACATAATGAGATTTCTAGAGTGCTAATAACAAACGATGTTGGATGATCTTTGATATCTCCCTAGGCACCATTGAATTCTCATTGATTTTGATTCAAAACTTTTGAACTTTCCCATAAAATGCAACTCAAACAACGCAACTTTTGAATTCTTAAGGTAACAAGTTCGATGAATAATGAATATACATATACATATACATACATATATATATAGTACTATTATATTATATATTAAATATTAATTATACTATATATTGCTATCCAGTACTTTGGTCTGGTGGTGTTCATCTTCACTTGGAAGTGAGAGGTCTTAGATTCCAATCTCGTGGATTGTGAATTAGATACCAACTTAGTAGGTTACCCATTATGTGGCTTACCGAACTCCCCTTCCCCTTTGTGTAAAAAATATTGATGTACTGAAAAAAAAACATAGTATATATTATTTGGGTCAGATTCGGGTATGGATACAGATCGGGGACTCTTATAATCATATCCAAAATCATAACCGAATAATATCCACGTTTTTTTTTCCTATATCCAAAATTAGGGGGTGGGGTTTGGTATGGGATCCCGAATCCCAACCGAAAATTTTTCGGGATGGGAATTTGAAGATCAATCCCGAAATTGAAAGTTTGGTATTCCTAATTTTCGAGATTTCTAAAATGTTTTCGGTATTCTAGGATGGGTCGAGATTGGATTTTGGGTTTTTGTGTTGAAATTTGAGATTTTTTGGAAGTGGACTAAAATTTGGGCTTTTCGCCAAAAATGTTATTCTCCAAATTCATATCAATTGAAACGTGGATTTTTTTACCTCATATTAATTTGAAATTTCATACGAATTAAAATACCAGTTCATTCATACCAAGTCAAATTGATGTTCCAAAGTTCCAAACTACTTAATTTCATACTTCTATTTCTAATATAGTCTACTATCAAACTATTTAAATTCAACATTAAACATGTATGCAAACAAAAAAAATATATATATTTTTTCAGTTAGGTTCGGGATTCCTGAACCATTTACATATCTCGAACCATTAAATATGTAATCTTGATTCATACTCCAAAAGGTTCGGAATCGATTTGGTATGGATGTCAAAAGTTTCGGTATTATTTGTTTGGAAATTTTTCGGTATAGGGTTGAGATTTTTTTGGTTTGGTTTGGGATTTTGGGGAAAAATTTCCAGCCTTATCCAAAATATACCCAAAAGTTCATACTGAAATTCATTCCATTTGGATGGTTATCCACGATTATCGAGTTTAACAGTTAGAATTGTCATCTCTAAATCTCAATTATAGGGCTATACTTGGCCAAGATCGAAACACAACCCGAAAAAATTTGAGAAGTACGAGATTCGAGAGTTTCCTCGGAGTGAGAAGAGTCATGTTGACGCACTTGCAAACATGGCATCCACTGTGGACTATCTGTTTTTAATTATATTCTTTTTGCTCCCTGTTGAGCAAATTCTTGTTGCTGAAGAACCAATTAGAGAACTACAACAAAAATAAAATTATCTTACAGAAGCCTTTCAAAGGAGTCTAGCGTATGATCTCCTTCCTTGATTCATTCGCTGCAACTGCTCCAACTATTTTCATCAAATATTTTAGAAGTTTAAAATTTGTTCAGGGCCCCTCTGCCCTCTATTCAATTTGCATACATGATGGGGTCGTAAGGGTTCAATAATCCTTGAGGTTGAACCATATAGACGTCTTCTTTTAAGCGGATGGAAGAATGCATTATTAACATCTAACTTATTAAAAAACTAGTCAAATTTAGTGACGAGCAAAAAGTAACTTGATTGTAACTAGCTTCAACAAGACATTACCGTATAAGAACTTAGGTGAAGTATAGTTTATTTGTTTGGTAACATATCAGAATTTAGGATGCATGCTAAATGTAAACATAACATTATGGACTATTTTAACAACCAAAACTAGATAGAATCAATAATAATACCATTGATTTCACTTTTCAATTTTCCTCTGTGACGATGCATGTAAGAGCTTCATGCTTTCAACATAAATAAACAATAAATAAATGTGGCAAATTCTATGGTGTCATAGTAAACAAATAACACCACAAATTGCTGCATCTTGAAAATGTACATCAACAGGTAGGTTCAAAATTCATTTAGGGGAGGCACGGATTTGAAGGAGTATTCTCATTGGGGAGAAATTTTTCATTGTGACGGGAACACAACAACAAAATATATTCATGTCCTACGAAGAGCAGTATCCAGTCTTAAATTTTTTGGATATATTTTAATGTCATATATATGTTAAACATATTTAGGTATTTATGTATCAGCAAATTCCTTTTTGTATTATAATTTATTATTATTAAGGGGAGGGGGTTGTTTTGAAATATTACAATAATTTAGGACGGGAGGAGTTTTGAACCCGAACCGTATGAGTGAAAACCCAACACCCTATCCATTAGAATGTTTGACTACATGCATGTATGAGCAAATTCCTTCAACTTTGAAAATATCGATCAAATGTGATTAAGAAATGAAGTTCAACTCACCTTACCCCATAATGCATGTCATGGTGGTTACAATGGCCCGAAACTCCCTAGTCATCAAAAGTAATTATCTGATAAAAGTTCATGTGAAATGGACTTTCGTTCATTTGGCTCAAACATTTGAGTGTACCAATGACATTGAACAATTTTTGGGACCCTACATTGTATTTTTGAACCTGGATTAGCTTCTAACGCTCCAAATTGAATAATTAACGCACCCAATTTAGCTTCTCACACTCCAAATCAAGCAATTAACGACCGGTTCAACTGGCCAAGGGAGACGAAAAACTGAGGAAATACAATAATAAAAGAGACATGAATACATGACAACGCCAAAACATTGACATTAATACATTGCAATTCACACTGAATCTTTCAAGAGGGGAATGCTGGATCGAGGTTGATTTACAAGAACACTATACCACAGGAAGTCGGTCTAAAAGGCAGTTAGTTTCCAACCTCGGTACTACAATTTTCGGTACCGAATCTATTTCCACAAAAATCATTAAAAGATCAATTACAATACATGTCATTTTGGATTCCTAAGGACAATAATGACAGAATCCCCGCGGAGGAACATCTTACTGATGAATCTATCTTTGTTGACAGGTTGGGCCTTCTTCTTGCCTTTTCCAGTCTTCGGTACCTGCATAGACAAATAAAAGTTGACAAAAATATCATTGGCGATGATAGGCTATGATAGGCGATGAAATCAAACACCGTAGTTGTTGCCTAATGAGTCACAAGATGCGAAACAAACAAAATAAAGCACCAATGACAAAAGTACCTCGGTCCACATCTCTCTAACGTTTTCAAGCACCATGTTGCAATGTCTATCAAACGCTCTCACACGGCCAAGGAGCTTCCTGTTATTACGACAGTTGATGAGGACCTGCTTGCACAATCAGAACTAATTTGAATTAGAATTTTTTTTTTCTTGAAATGTAAAGCTCTAATGATCACAGAACTGTAAAATTACGCGAAAGGATTACCTGAGTATTATTCTTTACACTCATCAGAAGAACAGAAAGTGGTCCGTTGTTAAATTCCTCTTCCTCATTCTTGATACCCTACATCAGTCAGGTTTGACAAATATCAATTTATGTACTTAGAGTATTGATAAGAGTTTAGGCGGTCTTTTATTTTGCGGAACAGTAAACAGAAAAATTATTTGGTAGTCTACAACATACGTGAGAAAGACAATTGTAAATGATTAGAGATGGCATCTCATTTAAGAATTGCAGGTTTTCTGATATATTAAACAAACAAAAAACATAACTGGAGTAAAAATGTACCAGGAGACAGGTAACACGGTGCAAGCAAAAAGTATGCACGGTGCTGTTTAATACTGGCTATTTTTTCTATGCTTCGGAAACCTGAACATCCCCAACCAAAGTATACAGGGAGTTCACCATAAGAAGCAACCTTCTAAAGAAGTACTATGGGCTACCCTAAATACATAATCATACATAATTTGAGGGCTTCAAATCTTCAAATCACAAATAGAACACACCACTAAGTTTGTTTTTATATCAGACATTGCCAACTGCCACTAGACCGAAGTTAAAGCTTCCACTTTGAAATTCAGTACACAAAATTTTTTTCTTCAAATCTTCAAATCACAAAAAGTGGCATAAGAAACAGGAATTGAATTAGCCGAAGAGTAGAACAACTTACATCTACCTCCATTTGATCGGCTGGAAAGGCGGGGCACTAAACACAAAACAGAAAGAGAAGACCAGTCAGTACTTCAGTGAAAAGAGAAGGATTATAAGCATTCAACATATCAAGCTAATCAACTACTCATAAGGAAGTAAAATAAAAACACATCTTTGTACGAAAGAACATAAAAATAAAATTTTAAAAATAATTTATAGTTTGAAACACAGAACCAGAAATGACATGAAATAGACATATAACTGAATAGGCATAGTTTGAAAACATATAACATAGCCTCATATAAAATAGCCTCTTCAGTTCAGGTCTCCATATTTTTCCGCATGGAATATCTCGGAAGAACGAAAGTTAACTTTGAATCATCATGAGAGACAGCATAACTCCACCAACATATAGAACATACACACACACACACACACACATCTATCCCAAGATATGAAACTAGTTAAAAAGATTCACATCCCATGACCATTAATTCTTCTTTGACAGTGTCAAGTAACAAAAGTAAAAATTTGTTTATGGTGATGCAAGCAAATTATACACAAAATTTTAATTGAAGGGATTGTGTGAAAACACAAAACCTCAGGGCATGTCAGTACTATACTAATAATTAACCCACCAAAAGGAAAATAAAATAAGATACATAAGTGTATTAACACATAAACAAAGCCTCTTCAGTTCAGGTCTCCAAATTTTTCCGCATGGAATATCTCGGAAGAACGAAAGTTAATTTTGAATCATCATGAGAGGCAACATAACTCCATCAACATATAGAACACACACACACACACACTTCTATCCCAATATATGAAACTAGTTAAAAAGATTCACATCCCATGACCATTAATTCTTTTTTGATAGTGTCGAGCAAAAAACAGTAAGAATTTGTTTATGGTGGTGCAAGCAAATTATGGACAAAATTTGAACTCCAAGGGATTGTATGAAAGCACAAAACCTCAGGGCATGTCAGAACTAAACTACTAATTAACCCACCAAAAAGAAAACAAAACATTGTCAAAGATACATAAGTGTAAACACATATAACAAAACCTCTTCAGTTCAGGTCTCCAAAATTTTCCGCATGGAATATCTCGGAAGAACGAAAGTTAATTTTGAATCATCATAAGAGGCAACATAACTCCTACACACAAACTAGTTAGGAACATTCACATCCCCTGACTATTTCTTATTTGACAATGACTAAGCAAAAAAGCCAAAATGTACATAATGCAAGCAATTCACAGAAAGAATTTCAATCGAAAGAGATGTGTGAAAACACAAAATACATCAAGGGATGTCAGTCCTAATTAACCCTCCAAAAAGAACATAAAGAATTGTCAATGTAAACAGACATAAAAATGCCTCTTCAGTTCAGGTCTCCAAATTTTTCCGCATGGAGCATCTCAGAAGTTAAAAGGTCTAGTTTATTCATCATAAGAGGCAACATAACTCCTACACACACAACCTGGTTAGAAACATTCACATCCCCTGACTATTTCTTATTTAACAATGACTAAGCAAAAAAGCCAAAACTTACATGACGCAATTTACGGAAAGAATTGTAATCGAAGGAGACGTGTAAAAACACAAAACACATCCGGGGATGTCAGTCCTAATTAACCAACCAAAAAGAAGATAAAGCATTGTCAATCTAAACATACATAAAAAAGCCTCTTCAGTTCAGGTCTCCAAAATTTTCCGCATAGAGCATCTCGGAAGATAAAAGGTCTAGTTTAATCATCATCAGAGGCAAAATAAATTCACTCAATGCACAACACAGACAGAGAACACCGTATAAAAGCAGATACGAAAAGCACTTTTGCTCAGTCAAACAAAAAACCCCAAAAGGAATTCCTAAAGATATACGCACTTGCATTCAACCAGCACTAATTTCATCAAGAAAACTATAATTACACTAAGATATACATTATTTGGGGCATTAACATACAGCGTAAAACATAAATTGCAGGGATTTGAGGATACAGTAATGGCAATTAGAGCGAAGACGAGTGAAACTTGTAAGGATTTGAGATCCTTAGTACCTACCGAGAGAGGTGAAGAGGTCCAACACTGAGAGTCGTTGGATCAGCGGAGTCTAGGGTTTATAGGAGGGTGGTTGGAGCGGGAGTGAGGGAGAACAGAGAGTCGATATAGGGGTATATATACATGGGCAATCCGGTATTCAACATGGGCCTTGGAGTACAGGAACAGTGTTGGCTCTGTTGTTGTTGGACTAAACCCTGTGTTTGGATGCATAATGGAACTGTTACACTGTGAAAATTTCATTTTGAACCTTTCATAAGTGTATTTTTCTTCATAAATATATTTGAAGTGCATAATGTGCATAATGAGAATTTTAGAATGTTAATAATAATTCCTAAAGAAAAATGATAAACACACATCATTTTTTTTTAGTATATCGATATTTGTACACTAAGGGGAGGGGGAGTTCTGCAAAGCCACACAATGGGCTCTAAAAATTTCATTTTGAACACGTCATAAGTGTATTTTTCTTCCTAAATATATTTGAAGTGCATAATGAGAGTTTTGGACTGCTAATAATAATTCCCAAAGAAAAATGACAAACACGCATCATGTTTTTTTTTAGTACATATAGGAAATTTGGGACTTACCTTTTGAACAAGGATTTGATGAGGAGTGATGAGAGGGATTAGAATAAATTTTGATCACCTTTGAATCTTCCTGGATTGAGCCGTTATTGTCTGTTACATGCGTGTGGGAATCTCGGTGTGTCTTGAGGTTAATTTTGTCATTTTCACTCAAAAGTCCATGTGTCACCTCCATAATTTTCTTGATTATTTTTTGCTCCACAAATGCCCTCACACCTGTTGGGCTGCTCGCAGGAAAGGGCAGCAGGTGTAGCGATCTTCCCTTGCCTTAGGAAACATAAGATTGTTTCCTATTTTGATGTAGATTCCCACTTTAATTGGAAATTAGATCATTTTAGGAAAGGGAAATAAATCATTTTCAGAGTCTATATAAGTCTATCTTAAGTAGATTAAATCAATTTCAGAGAGTAATTTATTCTACCCTACAAGAGAGGAAATCCTAGAGGATATTTGTTACCCCTCCCCTAGCAATCTTCTTCACTTGCCCATGCAAATGACTGTCTTTTGTTGCTTTCTTCGTCTTCACGCCGCACCAAGGTAAGAAGAAAAAAAATTAATTTTCCTTGTCTTTTTAATTTTTTGGGAGCCTCAGGGCTTGAAATTTGGCTTGACAGGGGTCTAGGATGTGTAAAAAAATGGTTGGGGAGCTATGACATAGCTGCTGTTGTGGGGTTGCTTCATCAGCTCAATGCGGCGGCAGCTCGGCTTGGGCCGAGGGCTAGTGGCGCAAGCCTAGGGCTTGGCCCGTGGCTGGCATGGGCCAGGGCGTTGGGGTGCTTGGGTCTGGGCTGTTGTGCTTGGGCCTGTGTTAGAGAGAGGAAGAGAGGCTCAAGCCTCATTCCTTGGCTTAGTTTATGGGCCGCTGGACTTGGCCCGTGTGAGAGATGAGAGAGAAAGGAAGGCTCCAATTGGACTGGGCCGAGAGGCCTATTAGACCAAGAAAAAGATGGGAGCTAGCGCGGGCTGGTCTCCCTTGGCTACTGTCTTTGGCCCATGGGGCCTGATGCATTTTTTTTTTATGCAAATGTCTAACTATTCTTCCTTGCATCTTTGTAGAATTTCTTTTGAGCATGTCTTATTCAAGCCACAAAAGTGATTATGGTGTGCTGCCATTGTATCGTCAAGGCAGGTCTTTAAGTAAAGTGGGCTACTTCAAGGCTGATCACTTCAAAATTAATTTTGATGACTCGTTCAAAGATTTCCTTAAAGCATATAGGCACGCCATTTTGTCTGAGATGCGTGTGAAACGTGTCAATGAGGGTAGCAGCCGTGAGCCATATAGTAGGGCTCGAAGAGCTATCAAGTTTCACCTTTACTACTTCGTGTTAGGATTTACTTTTCCCATGCCGCGTTTCTTCCAAGAAGTGTTTTGCTCCATGAAGTGTGCCCTTGCTCAATATTCTCCAAATGCGGTCCATGTGATGGTGGGATTCCTCAATCTAAGCTAATTCTTGGTTTGGATCTGACCATCAACGAATTCTAGTACTTCTTTAACATAGGTCATATTGATGGTGTTGGACAGCTGCGATTCAGCCATAGGCTCTTTGATCATTTGAGCAAGGGGGATCATGACTGAGCCAAGGAAACTTTGGAGATAAGTGGAAAGTGGGAGTCTGATTCTTCCCCTGAGCTGTGTGTTCTGACGATTTTCATCATCGGTAAGTAGATTGCTTTGTCTCTAGGCTGCTTTGTGCTTTTGCTGAGCTATTTTCTGATTTATTGACTATCATCCTCTGTCTATGTAGATTCGAAATTTGGTTGAACTTCCAAGACTTCTCTAGATATAAAGAAGGTGCACATTGCTTTAGGTATCCCTACTCAGTACCGTGAATGGCGTTGGATGCTTAGTCCTATTCGCTGGGAGAAAGGTAAGTTGCCCCCGAGAGAAGAGATAAAGTAGATCAAGGCGGATGTATTGGTTTGTCCGATCGCTATCATGGAGCCTGTTGTGAATGAAGGTAGAAAGAAGAAATCTTCATCGTCTACTTAAGAGATACCGGTTTAGAAAAAGTTGAAGGCTTTCTCCACTGCTCGTGAGGGTTCTCCTGCTGTTGAGAGGCTTATGATTGACTTGACTTTTTCTAAGGGGAAGAAAGATTAGGCTGCTAAATCTGAGCCTGTGACACCTGCTATGCCGAAGATAGCTAATACGATTATTGATATGATTGCTCAGCGTAGAGGTTCCGTCGTGCCTCAGTGCCGAAGTTTGTACCAAGACATCCATTGGGAACTAAGTCTGGTTTACCTTTGGAGAGGCTTTCTATTATGAATAGCGATAAGGTGGACTATGTTGCTAAAGTAGCGCCAAGGCCTACTCATCTTACTGATGGAACTGATTCGCCTGTTGAGAAAGAAGAGACTGCTTGTATGGGCAGTTGTGAGAAATCCACCAAGCATGTTTCTAGAGAGTCTGATGAGATTTGTGCACTTCTGAAGCCATATTTGCTTGAAGACATGGACGCATGTGCTAAGCTTGTTGATGGCGTTAGAAGGGTTGTTTTCTTAAGTTCATTGAAGCATATGACCCAGTATAGGAGGATTGCTCTGTTTGCCATGATGCAGAAAACGACGATTCTGGCTGCTGAGTCTATGCTCCTTGACCAAGGGGATACCAAGGCTGCCAAGGAGATGGCAACGACTATAACAGCTGAGGCTTATTCTTCTGCCGAGAAGATCAAAAAGTTGGAGTCTGAGCTCGTCGCTTTGAAAGGGTCTAATATCTCTGCCTCCACTTCTTTGCAGCTTGAGACTAATTTCCAGAAGATCATTGACTTGAAGACTAGGCTTAATGCGATCCAAGTTAAGTATGAAAATGTAAAGAATGAGATTGGTTGTTAGATACCTCAAATTCAAGATCTTGAATGTGCCGCTTCTGAGCTTCGTTCTACTGCTTACACAAAGGATGAAGAGTTGATTGCTGCTTATAATCAAGTGATCCACTTCTAGAAAATAATCAATAGGCTTGAACCCTAAGTGTTGGAACTCCAAGGTGTGTTGAAGATCAACGAAAGTCTGAAGAAGGAAATGGATGAGCTGCAGCGCGTTCGTGTTGGCCTGCTCGAGGAGAACGAGCAGCTGAAATGTGAAAATGTTGGACTTGAGGCTTCGCCAGGCCAATTTCTACAAGCTGGGTTATGTAGATCATATTTTTGAGTTTGTTGGGAAAGACTTTGAGACCTTCTCTATTTCTCCAGAAGACTTGTTTGCCTTTACTTTTTAGGCTTCCATTGGTGAAGTAGTCGGAGAAGTTAATGCCTAGGTTGTGGCAACTAGGGGTGAAGCGTTGGATGATATCGCTGTTGAGAGTGTGTAGCTAGTGAAGGTGTAGCGACTGAGTAGTCGTGGGATGTCCAAGCTGTTGAAAAGTAGTCTTCTAGGTAGCTTTTAGGATTTTCTTTATTTTCCTTGTTGCTTTTTGGTTTGCTTGAACTCCATTGGCCTTATTTGTTATTTGTCTATCAATTTTGCTAGAAAATTTAATAAACTTGATTCCTTCGTTTTTCATCATCTTCGTTTCTTTTGTTTACACCCAACCTTTGACCTTTAGACTAGCGGTAGTCATGCTACTTTTCTATAAGCAGACAAGCCCATGTAGCCTATATAGCTGTGGGTTTTGATGTAAAACATTTGCAAAGTTATTAGCCATAGGATCGGCAGCTGAACTCCTTACTTACAGAATTGGAGTAACTGCTTGCCTGTTTTGGCTTTCTTCAATCATTTGAGCTATGTGGCATGCATCACAACATATTAAAGATTTATGGGACATGAAATTCACTAACCTTTCATATCAAAAGTACGCGGTTGTATGGAATTTCGTAGGCAAAGGTTTAAGAGAACTTTTTGCTCTTTATGTAACCAATTTCATGGGTTGCGTAACAAGTATCACAACAATTTAGGAATTAATGTAAATCTGAATGATCATTTCGCGTTTGGCGGAGATGAAGTTTATCAACTGCGTATCATGTCGACAGTGGATAGAGCTTCGTATATGCACGCTAACTATTTAACCTTTCACAAAAATATGTGGTTGTATAAGTTAGCACGATTTACTGCTCGAATGACAAGTCATATGCAGTATTCTAGAAACCATAGGCTACTTTAGTGCACTCAGTAACAGTTTTAAAGTTCCAGAGTAATCGTCCATAGGGCGTATTGTGTAATATGCCACTTCCGTCTCTAAGGCCCAGTTCCCCTTGGATTAGGCTAAAGAAAAAAAATCCTTCAATTAGCTCAGCCTTGAAAAATACCATTGTGGCTACTTTTAGGAATCCCAGTGCAAGCCATCGTGCACCCACATAGGTTTACTTTCATGTCTGGATATTCAAAGTGTATAGTTTATCCTGTCGCATCGAATAGTAGACCCATATAGGTGTCGAGGGATTAGTTTACTTTCTCGTAATGGAGAGCAAGGTTGGTCCCCAAGGGGTGCAATTCCTGCGATAGTTTCCAGAAATGGCGCAATCTTTAATGAGAATCAGGAGTGATCAGTTGTTGTAGGTATATAGTTGAGCCGAGCTTATGAATAACTTCTTCAATCTTCAAAGAAATGTATC